AAGGCTCAGGGGTCCAAGATTATCTTCTGTGTCTGTGTTAATTGGTTTCCCTTTTCTTTGTTGAAGAGGGTCTGTGCAGTCCTTCTGCCTAGTCCGCCATCTTACTGGAACTCTATGGGTGTGTTTTCTGTATTAGAATTTTAATTTTTTTCCTAAAGGCTGTTGATGCCAATTTTTCTTCAGTTTTGAAAATGAAATATATGGCAGTAAAATATAATAACTTAGGTTGTGGCTGGAATTTTCAATTTTATCCCCAATAATTCCATTTTGCTCTCAGGACTTACGTTAGGTTCATTAGATCTTTTATTTTGCAGTGGTAAGTTTTGAACTTAAAAATTCTGGTATTAATTTACCTGACTTGGGTAAATGCTAACAACAATAGATTGTTTTTCCTTGGGAGGCAAGAAATATTTAAAAACGTTTTCTGTAGAGTAATCTGGATGTCATTTTTTTCTGATCTTTCTAAACACAAGTCACAGCTTTTATTATGATTAAGAAATTGAAGACAAGAGAAACCTTCTATTTTTAACCCCTGTTCCATTAGAAGGAGCCCTAATGGCACAGTGGTTGAAAGTACTCAGCTGCTAGCAGTTTGAAACCACTAGCTGCTCTGTGGGAGAAAGATGTGGCCCTTTGGGGGCAGTTCTACTCTGCCCTGTAGGGTTTACTGAGTTGGAATCAACTCAACAGCATGGGGTTTTGGGTTTGGTTCCATTAGTCATCTGAAGAATGTAACAAAAATAACAAGACTTACCTTTTAAGGTCTGGCAATAAGTAATAAAATATACTGGGTTTTTTTCAGTCCAGTGTTGTGTTTGATGTATTATTAACTCCCAAATTCTTCCTCCTGCTCATTCCTTAAATTCTAAATAATTTGTTTCATTTGTATCTTTGGAGATACTTTAAGTGCTTTGTTTGTAAGTGCTTCTGCATGTAAAGAAGAATTGGTCATGGAGTATTCTTCAGTTATAGGGGCTACTGTAGATTTTGTTACAAAGGAGCAGAACTATACATATAGCTATAATGTACATTGTACAAGACAAATATTAGATGACAGTTTAAAACATTATGAAGTTCTAAACACCAATAGTTTATTTATCTGGTATAAAGAAGATTATTAGTCCCCCTGAGATTTATGTCATGTTACATATTTGAGAATTAATACTAACATAACAGAAAACTCAACTATAATTTTATTTTTTGGACTCTTTAAGACTTTAGACAAAATGACTGTCCAACATTTAAAGTGTCTAATGCTTTGATTTTGGTCTTAGCCTCCACAGCACAGCAAATATAAAACATACATGTGTCGAGATATGAAGCAGAGAGGAGGATGCCCTCGTGGGGCCAGCTGTACATTTGCACACTCTCAGGAGGAACTGGAAAAGTAAGTGTCCCTCTTGTGAAAATCATTAGACGTAGCCTTCCAATAACTCATTATTGCATGAAATAGATTATTAAATTGAGTAGTCTTTTGGCAGTGAGAAATACAAAAAGAGTAGTTGTCTTTTCCTCCATGAATAGGCAATTTTAGAGTGTAATACATAACTTAAATAGAAGAAAACTGAAGCAGTTTCTTCATCTTTCATTACTTTGTGCCTACAAACAGGAGACTATTTTAAGGTGGTGGTTATGGTATGCCGTCGAGTTAATTCTGACTCAAAACAACCTTATAAGACTTATAGTAGAACTGCCCCCATAGGGTTTCCTAGACACTGATCTTTATAGGAGCAGATTGCCAGGTCTTTTCTCTCATGGAGCAGCTGGTGGATTTCAAACTGCTGACTTTGTTAGCAGTTTAGCGCATAACCATTGTGTCACGAGGGCTACTTATTTTATGGTTAGCTAAATCCAAAAGTTACCTTTTTACTCCAAAAAATAATAAAATTCAAACAGTTGTTATAAATTTTAACTGATTGATTTTAATAGTTCAGTGAATTTCCAGTGTAAAAATTTGCCCTTTGCTCTATTCAGGGAATTAATTTAATATCAGACTCAATTTCACAGATTTTTTCAGATGTCAAGAACCAGGTAATTCCAATGATAATAAATTATCAGTCACACAGAAGGGAGGAAAACCTCTTAATTCTCTTTTTTATAAAGTCAGTATAACACTGACACTAAATTTGATGAAGCACATACTAATATTCAGAATCCACAGATATTAACACATACAGTTAGTTCAGTGATACATTAAAATAGACACCATAATTAAGTTCAAAAAAACCAAAAACCAAACTCACTGCCGTGGAGTTGGGTCCGACTTGTAGCGATCCCTCAGGTGTCCAAGGTGGTATCACTATGGAAGTAGATTGCCCAACCTTCCTTCCGAGGAGTGGCTGGTGAGTTTGAACCACCAGCCTTCTGGTTAGCAGTCAGATGCCTTAGGCACTATGCCACCAGAGCTCCCTTAAGTTCAAAGGTAGCTTGATAAAATTACTGTAGGAGAAGTACCTTGTGATCATGTCCAAAGGTGCTGAAAGGCATTTGAATAAAATCAAATATCCAATTGTAGGTCAAAATTGTTTACACAAACGGAAATATCATAGATACTTTAGGAGCTGAATCCTAACTTTGCTATGTTGTTGTATACCAAAGTGAATTTTAGAAGTATCAGAGATTTAAAGACAGGAAGAAAACCTGTAAGAGTACTAAGTAATTTTTTTTTTCTTTTTACATACAGTCTTACAGTAAGAAAGGGTTGTTTCAAAATGATAGTGTAGCATCCATAAAGGAAATGATAAATTTGATTATATAAAAATTAAACTTGTTATTTTTGAACTATCAGATTCACAAAGACTGATACTTCCTAGTATTTGATGAAGAATTAGGGGGAAGTTTTGTTTTTCCTTTATTATCAATAAGGAATATAACCTTTCTAGAGCAGTTTCTAATGTTGATACCCTTTGACCTACCAGTTCTCTTCTAGTTACTCATGAATGTGTTTAAGTATGTGTACATGATTATTCATGATAGCAATGTTGTAGTAGCAAGAAGTTGGGAACAACTTCTAATAAACTGACAAAGAAAAATACCTAAGATTACTAGTGGAGAAAAAAAATTACCAAGCAGCCATATATGACTCTCTTTTTGTAAAGAGGGAAAATACCTCTAATTAATTATATACCAAACTCTTAACAGTGATTACCTCTATAGGGTAATTGCTGTTTTCCTTTCCTTCTCCCTCAGAAATTTGTCAGATATGGGAAACATTTGGAAAAATAGCATTACTCTTAATAGGAGTTTATCTTCGAAATTTAACTTTTTAAAATTGCACTAACATTTATAAATAGACTTGTTTTCGTTGTTGTGGGATGAAGATGCTGGAGTTGATGGCTTAATTTTTCTCCTATGGTTAGATTTAGAATTTACATGGTAGCTTTGGTTTAAATTTAGGCCATTATTCTAAACTATTTCCATTAAACTGCTTTTAAAATAATTTCAGTCTTATATAGGCACACATAATATCATCTCTGAATTTTTGATAAAAGTTACTTTTCTTGATTATTTATGTTTTTTAATGGAGTAAGTGGTTCATTTTTCTCAACGTACGCTATGGAACTGTTTGTTTGCTTTATTCTTAATTTTTAATACAGGCTCACTGTATCCTAAGGAAGGAGCTCTGGTGGCACTGTGGTTAAAGCATACAGCTGCTGACCAAAAGGTTGGTGGTTGGAACCCACCAGCCATTCCTCAGGAAAAAGATAAGACAGTCTACTTCCATAAAGATTTACAGCCTTGGAAACCTATGGGGCAGTTCTACTCTGTCCTGTAGGGTTGCTATGAATTGGAATATACTCAGTGCCAGTGGGTTTGGTTTTGGTTTGGGTAGGTATCCTAATAAGGCATTTGAGGGAAAGCTAAAGTAATGAATTTCAGAAACTGTCTTCTGAAGATTTTTCTAACTTCTCCAATAACTTTTAGGAATAAATTTCAATTAAAAAATATGTGATGTTAATGAACAAGATTTGTTTGTTACAAATATTACATGTTTCATCTTGAGGAATTTTATACTTAATTGGTGTGTCTTGCTGCATGACATTTTATGGATTACACACACAAACAAACAGAGGTATGTTCTTAAGTTGATAGCTAGAAGCAGTGTTCCGACAGAATTGTAGAAAATAATGTGCTTGGAATCTTTTCCTTTTTTATCTGTTTTTTTTTTTGTTTTGTTTTTTGTTTTGTTTTGTTTTTAGTTCTTGGTTTAGTTTTTATATTTTTGGTTTCTGCTATTATATCTTTGCTTTTTATATAGATTTCGTAAAATGAACAAACGCTTAGTTCCCAGAAGACCCCTGAGTGCCTCTTTGGGTCAACTTAATGAGGTGGGCCTGCCTTCAGCAGCTATCCTCCCAGATGAAAGTGCGGTGGATCTGCCTACCAGAAAAACCCCTGCTCTGCCAAATGGAATTGTATCAACAGGGAACACCGTCACACAGCTGATTGCACGAGGGACAGACCCAAGCTATGAGTCTGGTCTGAAACCTGGAAAGATAGATCATCTGAGCAGTAGTGCACCTGGATCTCCTCCTGACCTGTATGTTTTCCTGACTCTTATTTAAAGTTTCCTGTTTCTAAACTTCTTAAAGTTTTTTCTTCTTTATAATCAGTGTCTTTTATGGGGGAAAAAAACTTTTTTTGGCTTCATTTTGTTATGTTATTTCCTTCCATTTTCTGTGCTAGTGATTTTTAAGAATTAATTAGCATAAATGAAATAAGATCAAAGTTTACAAAATTTATAGAGGGTAGCTGTTGGAATAAACTAGTTTCCCGAATTGTGGCAATCTTTGTTTACATTTAACAATTTGTACATTAGAAGTATTTTAGGGACCTTAAACTTGACTTTCACAATTTTATTCCCTTAGACTGGAATCTGTCCCTAAGAGTATTTCTGCCTTACCTGTGAATCCACACCCTGTACCTCCAAGGGGGCCAGACCTGCCTCCCATGCCTGTCACCAAACCACTTCAGATGGTGCCACGAGGGTCTCAGTTATATCCAGCGCAACAGGCAGATGTTTATTATCAGGATCCTCGAGGAGCAGCTCCACCGTTTGAAGCAGCACCTTATCAGCAGGGTAATGATCTTTCATTTATGTTGCTCAGTGTTCTTAGGACTTAAGAGAACAACTTTTAAGTAAATAGATTTTATTTAATATTTTGGAAAAATAGATATGATGTTCTGAATAGTATGAAATAAAGTAGCAAAGCTGTATAAAACAAACTGCGCTATCAACCAATAGCAATGTTATACATAACCATTGCTGTCAATTTGATTCTGACTCTAGGGACCCTATAAAACCAGGTGGAACTGCCTCATAGAGTTTCCCTAGGCTGAAATCTTTACAGAAGGAGACTGCCACATCTTTTTCCAGGAGAACAGCTGATGAGTTCAAACCACTGATCTTCTGGTTGGCAGCTGAGCACTTAAACTCTGTGTTACCATAACTCCTTAGTTGTATGTTGAATGTATTCATATACTTTTGGAAATAACAAGTCACCTGACTAGACATGGATTTGCTAAGTAAGTGACTACATGTTCAGCTGACCAAATTTACTAATACCAAAAAATACTGTTACATGGAGTATAAATTAAACATATAGTACATTTTTCTTCCTTTTAGTTATCACCTAATAGTCTTTTTCTGTCTTCAGCACTCTTGGGTCCTGTAATGTATATGAAAATAGTATACATACCTTTAGAGAGTTTATAGTGTAGAGTCAGTAAACACTCAAGGGAAATAAATTATTGAGAACTTGAGAAATCAAAGACATTATGGAAGAAATGTCCTAAATAAGGGTATTTTATATATAAATAAAAAGTTACAGAAAAACCAACAAGGATGGTTTGGAAAGATCAGTCTAGAGTCAAGAAGAAGTTAGAGGACTATTGTTAATCTAAGAAGGAGCACTGGTGGCATAGTGGTTAAGCACTCAGCTACAAACCAGAAATTTGGTGGTTGGAACCCACCAACTGCTCCACAGGAGAAAGATGCCATGATCTGCTTCTGTAAAGATTGTTGTTGTTGTTGTTATGTGCCGTCGAGTCGGCCCCGACTCACAGCGACCCCTCCTTGGATTTCCGAGGCAGTAGCACTACGGAAGTAGGATTGCCCAACCTTCCTTCCGAGGAGTGGCTGGTGGGTTTGAACCGCCAGCCTTCTGGTTAGCAGTCAAGTGCTTTAGCCACTATGCTACCAGAGCTCCTTCTGTAAAGATTACAGCCTTGGAAATCCTATGGGGCAGTTCTACTCTCTCCTCAACAGCAGTAGGTTTGTAAGTGAGTGTTGAGGACTGGATTTGTGTGGTGGCAGGGTAGAAGTGATTTATAAAGTATACAAAATTGAAAAATTAACCAGGTGTCTTAGTTTCTAATTGCTCCTATAACAAAAATTCTACAAGTGGGTGGCTTTAAGAAAACAGGTATTATTTTCTTACAGGTTAGGAGGCTAGAAGGCTGGATTCAGAGCACCAGCTCTAAGAAAAGGCTTTCTCTCTCTGTCAGCTCTAGGGGAAGGTCCTTTTCTCTTTTCAGCTTCTGTTGCTTGGTGATCTTCATGGGGTGTGGTATCTGTCCTGCCCTATCTGTGCTTCCTTGCTTTGTGCCTAATCTGTCCTTTTTATCTCCAAAGTGATTGACTCACACCTTGCGCTCTCCGCGTCATTAACATCCCAAAGAAAATACTGTTCCCAAATTATATTACATCCATAGGTATGTGGGTTAGGATTTATAACATATTTTTGGGGGAAACAATTCAGTCTGTAACACCAGGTTTAATGATAATGCTAGGTATGGAGAATGAAGGGAAAGAGATGACTGAAGTGCCACACATACAATTTACACGAAAAATATACATGAAAAATAAACACAGTGATTTTAAAACTAACGTGTCTCTCATTGGCAGTATAAATAGATTAAAGGTATTCTACATTTTGTTTTCCTAAGGCTGTCTTTTAACTTTTAATTGAAAGTGTTCTTTCTTTACATTCAAAAGAATAGTTTTAAATTGATACTTGCTTAATACATGCAGAAGGAGCTCTGGTGGTGCAGTGCCTAAGGCATTTGACTGCTAACCAGAAGGTTGATAGTTCAGTCCCACCAGGCACTCCATGGAAGGAAGACAGGGCAGTCTACTTCCGTAAAGATTTACTGCCTTGGAAACCCAGTGGGGGTTGCTTTGAGTCAGAATCAACTTGATGGCAGTGGGTTTGGTTTTACTACATGCAAAGGTGATCTGGTAGCATAGTGGTTAAAGCATTTGGCTGCTAACCAAAAGATTGGCAGTTTGAACCCACCAGCTGCTCTGTAAGAAAAAGATGAGAATTTGCTTCAGTAAAGATTTACAGCCTTGGAAACCCTATAGGGCAGAACAGTTCTACTCTGTTTTATCGGGTTACTATAAGTAGGAATCAGTTTGATGATGGTATATTTTTTTTTTTCAAATACATGTAAAAATATTATGAAAGTTGATTTGTATCTTCTTTTTGACTAACCAAGTACCATTTTGTTGAGGTAGTCAATGTGTAACCTTAAATACCCTATGCATTAGTCAGGGTTCAATTGCAAATAATAGAATCCATTTTTAGTTAATTAAGAAGAAAGATTTAATGAAGGGAGTTAGGAACCTACAAAATCAATGGAAGTACTGAAGAAGCAGGTTTAAGCTGGGCATCCGCTAATGAGTCCCAGAACAGCACTGCAGATCTGGCAGCCAAGGGAACCTACTATAATGAAAAAGCAGAAAAAGAAGACTTTAATCCTAACTGCTAGCACCAGAATCCTGTCACCTAAAGGAAAAATCTCTAAATTGGGAAGCTGTTGCCATAATTGTTGAGTGGATATTTTGTATGCCATATTTCTTTCCATTTAACTCGGTTTCACATTTAAAACTCAAGTCAGTGATTTTTGGAACCTCACCGTCAAGGACGTTTGGAAAATATTTTTAGCTTTCCAGTGTGTGCACTACTACATTATGACACATGAGGAAGAGGTTTGAACAATTGAGAGAGCTAATCCAATATTGTAAATTATAAGTAGATTGTTTTCAGCGACTTTTAGGGGTAATTTTTGTTTGGTTTTCATAAAGCTAGCATGACTATATAGGAGCTCTGGTAGCATAGGGCCTAAGGCACTTGACTGCTGACCAGAAGGCTGGCAGTTCAAACCCACCAGCCACTCCTCGGAAGGAAGATGGGGCAATCTACTTCCATAGTGATACTGCCTGGGAAACCCAAGGAGGGGTCTCTATGAGTCAGGTCTGACTCGAAGGCACATAACAACAACAACAACAACAGCATGACTATATAGGCAAAGGAGAAATCTTGTAAGGAAACAAGCAGATTATTTACTCTTTAGTGTTTAAATATTTAAAAAGAAAAATACATTGGCTCATTGTTCCTTTTGATTTCTCTTGTGTTGTATAGGTATGTACTATACCCCACCACCACAATGTGTGTCCCGCTTTGTCCGGCCTCCACCATCTGCTCCTGAACCTGGTCCTCCATACTTGGATCATTATCCACCCTACCTCCAAGATCGTGTAGTAAACTCCCAGTATGGCACACAGCCACAGCAGTACCCACCTATGTACCCACCACACTATGATGGCCGTCGGGTATACCCTGCTCAATCTTACACGAGAGAGGAGATATTTCGAGAAAGCTCTATACCCATTGAGATTCCACCTGCAGCAGTACCATCCTATGTTCCAGAATCCAGAGAAAGATACCCTCAGATGGAGGGTTACTATCCAGTGGCTCCTCATCCAACTCAGATCAGACCTTCATACCTCAGAGTATGCTGTATTTATTTTTCTTATTATAAAGACCTAATAACCTTTGTATAATAATTTCTTATGTTTTTGCCATTGTAATAATCCTTTGAACAATTTCTTTTTATAAAAATGTTTCTTTCCATTTTTTCATCTTTTCATAGCTTATGTAGGTTACTTTTTAAAAAAAAAAAAACTGTTAAAGGAACAAAACTTTCTTCTTCCACTATTAACTCTTCTTAGTATCTTAACTTTGGTTCATTGTATTAACATTTATAGATTTATTGGAAATGTATGATCTCAAGCCCAGAAAACCTGAATTCTGCATTTTGAGAGTTTTGTTGGTTTTGTATTTGTTTTGTTCTATTAATCGTTGGTATTCTTCTTTGTTAATCTGCTCATATAAAATATGTGCTGAATGAATTAATGTGTTCTAAAACTATCGTTTTCAGCCTTAACTTTTCTTTCCATTTTCAGGAGCCTCCTTATAGCCGGCTTCCACCTCCTCCTCAGCCCCATCCTAGTCTAGATGAGCTACATCGCCGAAGAAAGGAAATAATGGCCCAACTGGAGGAAAGAAAGGTCATCTCTCCACCTCCTTTTGCACCTTCACCAACATTACCTCCTACCTTCCATCAAGAGGAAGTAAGCACATCATTTCTGTCCCATTTATCAAATATTTTCCTTTATCACTGGGTTTTTTTTTTTTTTTTTTTTGGTGTGTGTATGTTCCCAGGATTTTTCTGTTTTCTTCTAAAAAGCTTATTATTTTATTTCACATTTAGATCTATAATCTATCTAGAATTGATTTTTTTTTTAATATATATAGGTAGTTGTGATTTATGGTGAGGTTCTGTTCCAACAACTCATGTAAGTTGGTTCTAACATAAGTCAAAGATCTCATTTTATTTCCAGTTTTCGTTATTACTGCCTTTTGTTATTGCTATCTTTTATAAATCCAATCCTTGTCTTTGGGGTGGAAACATTACATACAAACTTACAGATACATTTTAATACATGCATACATACATTAGAAAACACAAAAGTCATTAAAAATTTTCTCTAACAATAAAGAAGAGTTGGACAACATTGGCATTTTGTCAGTTGCAGTAATAACTCCACTTGTGGAAGGTTCTGGATTATTCTAAGGAATAGGGATGGTGTTTCAAGTCAGAAAATTTGTGAGAGTTGTCTGTGTGGTCCTTTTTCTTTTTTCTTCATATATTTATTTTGCAGTAACAGCTCACTGCTTCCCACATCTGCTTATCTACTTTAGCATTGCTGTTCCCAGAGTAACTGATTTTTTTAAGCTGCTTTAAGTGGAATCCTCTTTGAAATTTCATTTTCTACATATTATTAATACAGAAAAATTCAGTAGGTTTTTATGTATTGACCTTTTTATTAAAAAACCTTGCCAGATTTCTTTATTAATTCTAGTATATTTTATTTTTTTCCTTTTAAATCCTTATGTCTTTGTTGTACTGGGTAGATCTTTCAGTATCAGGTTGAATAGAAGTGGTGTAACAGGTATTCTTGACTCATTTCCAATCTTGGAGTGGATGGAACTTTTAATTCGCTATTGTGATGTTTAGGAGTTCTGGTGGTGTAGTGCCTAAGGCATTTGACTGCTAATCAGAAGGGTAGCAGTTCAAACCCACCAGCTATTTCTCAGAAGGAAGATTGGGCAATCTGCTTTTGTAGAGATACTGCCTCAGAAACTCAAGGAGTCATTATGAGTCAAATTGACTTGAGTTATTGTGATGTTTGTTGTAGGACTTGTTATCGATAATCTTTATCAGATTGATGGTATTCTTTTCTCCTAGCTTTAGAATTTAATTTTATAAGTGAGACATAGGAAAGATTTATTTAACTTATTAATTAGAGAACCAGAGGATGGCTAAACTGGTTCATAGACAAATAGCATGTATATTTAGTGAACTGCAGAACTGCAGGGGGGGAAAGGTATGAAATAAGGTTGTTTGAAAAAAAGCTGGTTAATGTCTTACAGGGCAATAAGCTGTAATTTTGGAGTTTATCTTTGTTTTTCTATAGCAAAATGTTAATAGTTAATCATAAGTGGTATTGTTTTATTATTTTAGAGTCTGTAGTGATGTTCCTTTTTCCATTTCTGATATTTGTCACTTTTTTTTTTAATTCAGTCTTGTTAGAAACTTATCAAAAATTTTTTAACAAGGTAATTTTTACCTTGATTTTGTTTCTTGGTGTTGATTTTAAGTACTACCTCATTTTACCTTACAGAGTATATATGTTTTAAAAAGAAGCGAATAGGTTTTCTCAACTGAGTTGAATATGATACTATGTAAAGAAAATGTCTTGCATCCTTTATGTGTAGAATTATGATTCTAAACAAAATTGTTAACTCACAAATTATGAGTAGTAAGCCATGAGAATTGAAACCTAAAGTGTACCACGCATAGTAGATGGTAGCCTGGTATGTCTGTAAACATGTACTGCTAAGTAGAAATTGTTCACAGTATCTAGGTTCCTCATCTTACGGTGAATTTTTCATAACCATGCAAATTGGTAAAGTCATGATATCTAGTAATGTAAATTTACTTGTAAATTATAAACAACTTGTATGATATTTTTTCACAATTTGCATATTAGAGATACTCTGGAATCTTGTTATGCTATACTGTTTTATGAGAAGTATGAAAAGCAGTAGACATTGTGGGAAGTTAGCTGACTTTGGAATCAGACCAACTTAACTTTGAGGTTCAGCTGTGTTACTCATTATATGATCGTTTATAAGTTACTGCTTAGCCTCCCTGAATCCTGAGACTCAGATTTCTCCATTTGAAAATCAAGGATAAAAAAGCCTACTTTATAGTAGTGTGGTAAAGATTAAATAAGACATAAAACAGTTGGTATGTAACAGGCATTTGATAAATAATAACTTTGCATTTTTATTTTTACTTCTAATAAAAATTATAGGAGCTCTGGTAGCATAGTGCCTAAGGCACTTGACTGCTAACCAGAAGGCTGGCAGTTCAAACCCACCAGCCACTCCT